TCTCTCTCTCTCTCTCTCTCTCTCTCCCTCTCCATTAACCAATTAACCATATCCTCTAGTATTCAATTTTAAAGTGATCACTCAATGGCTGTGCAATATAACCGTCCTTGTCATCAAATCACCAACAGAAATCTACTGCATACAGCTGCAGCATGTGCGCTGTATTTTAATGCAAGGAGCAAATTTTTTGAAAATGGAAGGCTTATGTCCTATGTTTGAGTTGACGCCAAGGAAAAGATAAAGAAACAGCTGAAAGACAGAGTGAAGGATAAGAAGGCAGTAGAGCTGGAAGCTGGAAGCAGATGTGACTGGGAGTGTGCCATAGGAATGTACAGGAGTTGCATTGAACTTCCAATTGTCTGGTGGACAAGGGATTTGAGCAGATCTGACCTAGATCTAAGAAGTGCATGGCGGGTAGCCCAGCTGATACGTGGCTTACTCAAATATGTGACTCTGTTGTATCTGAAATCTTTGAGATCCTAAACTATGAACTCTTCCAGGACAGGAGGGTAAAGTATTTGTTTTCTCCTAGCAGAGCCACGTGCCTGCTTAAGTAATAGTTGATGAAAGATTAGTGCATCACTTTATAAACTTTAACTAATTGATAAGTACTGAGATGTCATTTATCATAGTTGGTGGTCTAAGATTCTGGGATTGCTAGCCTAAGCTATTTGTTATTTAAAGGCTCTCTGGGGTTTATTTATGTATTATCTGTAATAATAAAAGCATAATATGCTAATTAGATCAGACATCCTTCCAGACGAAGCTGCAGTGGCTGGGGGCCGAGCAGAGGCGGCGGCTGCCGTGGTGGTGGGGATCAAGCCCCTTGCATGAATTTCATGCATCAGGCCTCTACTATAATAATAATATACTTATATTATTATACTTTGGAGGTGATTTTAAAATTCTGTATTGTTTGATGGTATCAAGCAGTGTGTCAACCCCTTGAACTCAACATCATTCTTCCGTGTTGTAATGAATATCATGAAGAAGTTCCGGTCACAAGAACCTACCAGGGGCCAGAAGATGTCTAGTCCTAGAGGGACTGTTGTGGGTTGAATTGTGCCCTCCCCCCAATTCCTATGTTGAAGTCCTAATACTGAGTATTTCAAAATATGTTTGTTTTGGAGATACAGATGTGTTCGCACCCAGAGGAAAGACCAGGTGAAGAGACAGTGAAAAGGTGGACTTCTACTAGCCAAGGAGAGACACTTCAGAAGAAAGCAAACCTGCCAACATCTTAATCTTGGAGTTCCAGCCTCTAGAACTGTGAGAAAATTAATATTCTGTTGTTTAACACCCAGCCTGTGGTCATTTGTTTTGGCAGTTCTAGAAAGTTAAGATAGGGACCATATTTTCCAAACTAAAAATTAGGACACATGACCTTACAAGTGATTTATAGAAGCAATAGACTGAAATACCTTATATTTGAAATCCAGCCATATGTAACCCATAGTCTTACTTCCAAATAGGACTTGACTTAATCCTAGAAAAATACTTTTATTCAATTCTTTAAAAAAAAAATCTTAGAAAGGGGGTTCTATTACCACCACTGGAAATGTACCAAATCTCAATTTTGAAAGTGAGGTTTTACTATCATGCATTATTTTGGCACCATTTAAAAACCAAATCAAATGTAATTTAGAGAGAGTTAAGGGCAGAAATCCATGGACTTTTTTCCCTTAACATGTACTAGTAAGTGTAGTCTAAATTACTGTAAGCACACGCATTCTATTTTTAGAAGAAAGGAAATGGAAGAACCCTGAATACCTTCAGGAGGACAAATCCTATAAGAGGAACAGCACAGGCCAGCATCGGCAGCCTCTTAGGCCAACCGGCTACATAATTAGAAAACACCCGGGGGGTTAGGGGTGGCAGAAAGTGGGAAGGAGTTTAAACTAAATATTCTTTAAGATCTAAATCAAGGAATGAATTGGACTCTCGCCATGGTTGTTGGTACAGTGCATATTAAACACAATGTCTGTTTTCTCCCTTAGAGCAAGAATAGAAAGGCAAAGCTCTTATTTATTAATATGATCTAACAAAAATGCTAACTTCTATATGTTTAAAAGCCCATTGGGGATCCCAAGAACATAACAAAGCATATGGAATCCTCATCAAATGGAAGCCAGGTGTGATTTTTTTTTTTTTTTTGCCTTTACCAGAAAACTTCAGACTCACAGACCTCATAAGTCTGCATTTCTATTCTTTCCACAAGTTAGAGAAATGCAGCTAAGTAAAAAGGAAAATTAAATTATGAATATTTCTGGAAGAAATATAATTATTTGACTTTTGGGGTCAGATGACAAAATGGACCCAAATTATAAAATTGCTCAATTTACAAAAGCCAATGAAGAAAATGAAGATGCATAGCTAGAAAAAAATAAATTGTATCAACTCTCCTTAAACAAATGAGGAGGAAAAATTCGTATTGAAAAGTGTTACCCATTTCCTCAAAAAATTAAAAATGGAACTCCCACTTGACCCAATAATCCCACTTCTAGGAATATATCCCAAGAAACCAGAAACACTAGTGAGAAAGGACCTATGCACCCCTATGTTCATAGTGGCACAATTCACCACAGCTAAGATTTGGAAACAACGTAAGTGCCCATCAGCAGATGAGTGGATTAAAAAGCTGCGATACATCTACACAATGGAATACTACCCTGCTGTAAAAAAGAAAGAACTCTTACCATTCACAACAGCATGGATGGACCTGGAGAGCATTATGCTAAGCAAAATAAGCCAGTCAGAGAAAGATAAATATCACATGGTCTCACTCATATGTGGAATACAGTGAACAACATAAACTGATGAAAAACAGATCCAGAGACAGAGAAGCATCGAACAGCCTGTCAAACTTCAGTGGGAAGACAGGGTAGGGCATGGGGGAGGGTAAGAGATCAACCAAAGGACTTGTATCCATGCATATAAGCATAACCAATGGGCACAGACACTATGGGGGTGAGGGCATGTGCAGGAGGGGGGGGGGGGGCCTGGGGAGGGGGCAATCGGGGGGGAAGGAGACTACTATATGTAATACTATATGTAATACTTTAAACAATAAAAAAAGAAGAAGACAAGCTCTTATTTCTGAAGAAAACATTGAGCAATTTTGAAAGTTTGTAAATGACCAACTATGGAGAAGCGTATTTTAAAAACACAAATAAATAGTGATTTTCCCCAACAAAAAAGAAAAGTGTTACCCAGAGAAACCTGTGTGTTTCCAAAGATGGGAAGGTAGCTCCAAGCCTCATATGCCCAGAGCAGTATCAAAACCAAAAAGATGAGTGGGGAAAATGTTGGGAGAAAAATCTCCCTAATGTCTCCCAGCTCCAGGGCACAGGGAGGCAGCCCAGGAGACATGAGAAGTTTCACCCTCTCTGCTTGCCGACTCCCCCGCCAGGACTATTCAGAGAAAAGAGGATGTGCATGAGGGCCCAGAGATGATTGTCTCCATTTACAAACGGGTTTCCAAGGGTGAAAACCAAAACAGAAAATACGTAACACAAAACTACTGAGATTTGGGGGGCCTGAGGCATGAAACTGCACAGAAGCCTCATTTAAAATCCTCAACTTCTCTTAAGATTAAAACTGCCATCACAATAGTGGGGTATAGAAGACCCTCCACTACTTACTAGTTGTGTGACCTTGGCCAGGTTACTAAAAGTCTCTTAGCTTCCGTTTTCTTATCTGTAAAATTAAAGTTATTATAATAGCTAAATGCAGATGAGTGCATTAAGGATAAAATGAGTTAATATATATGAAGCACATAGAAAAGTGCGGGGCACATAGTAGACACTATATTAGTGTTACCTATTACTATTATTACTGTAATTGTCACAGTCCATAAGCCTTCCTTTTCTTTTCTCCCTCTGGCTAGAATGGGTGTGGGAGGTATTCATTGTGGTCCAGGTATTACCTATGTTACTGCTGATTTAAAATAAAAAGATTCAATGCCTGGCCGAATGAAGTTCTCAATCTATTGTGGGAGGGGAAGGGCAAATGTATCAACAAATGAGCCACCCAAGCTCCCTCAGTGCTTGCCCCAGTCTGTGCATGGCAGGTTACTCAAGCCCTGGGGGAAATTTATTTGAGAGATCCCTACAATTAACACCAGTCATCAACTCCATGAAGATACGGGGAATCCCTACTTCTCTTTCAGTGGCCAATTGTGTTTCAGTCATTTTTAAATAGTCTATGTTCTTGCCTGGCTGGCAAGGCTCAGTGGTTGAGCATCAACCTATGAACTAATAGGCTATGTTCTTGCCTGGCTGGCATGGCTCAGTGGTTGAGCATCAACCTATGAACCAGGAGGTCACATTTCAATTCCCGGTCAGGGCACATGACCAGATTGCAGGCTCCATCCCCAGTTGGGGGGGGCGGGGGGGGGATGTGCAAGAGGCAGCAAATCAATGATTGTCTCTTATCGTTGATGTTTCTATCTCTCGGTCCCTCTCCCTTTCTCTCTGAAATCAATAAAGATATAAATATATTTTTTAAAGAACATTAACTTTTAACAAAAAAAAGTCTATGTTCTTCCAACTCTTCCTGTTCTGGTGTAGTGCACAAACATCACCACCCTGAGCCAGCCCCCTCTTATCATACCTCTTGCACAATTTGCTACATAAGCATGGCACATCAAAGCACAACAAAACTTCTCTCTTAAGCCCCTGCATTACATTCTGACTTGGCCTGTACCCAGGTCCTGTCCTTCAATCCTCTGGAGTTAACATAGCACCCAGTGCATGTATATTCCACGTACTACATTCTTAATCTTCTTTTTATCCCTTCTCCATTCCTTTGATCCTTAAGAACAAAGAATGGAAAAACAGCTCAAAAACAGAGCCATGGTGTATGGTTGCACTAACTGTGCACCATTTTGTGAACGAGGACCCTAGAGTTGGTCAGTCTACAATCTGAACAACCCTATGCAGCCCCTCTGCCAGCATGCATTCTAACAGAATATGCACATAGCACATTGGGAGCACAGCAGATAGAGTGCTCAGCTCCCTTTCGGAGGGTCAGGGAAAGTTGTATAAAACAAGTAGCTATTAACCATTCTTCCAAAAGTCTGGGGAGGGTGATGTAGGGAGCAGAAGCAGTATATGAAAAGGCACAGATGCATAAAACAGTGCAACATTCAGGCATTACAAGATTAGCAAGGACTGGGGAATATCTAGAGCAGAGGGGACAATGGGAAGAACAGCTGGAGATGCAGCTGAAGATACAATTGTGTGAGGACTTGCTTGTTATGCCAATGAATTGAGAGTATAGGGGTGCCTGTGTTTGTACGTAGGTAGGGGTGGTCTTAGAATTAGGGGAATGGGGTACACATGATCAAATTTGTGCTTTAGAAAGATCACTGTATCTATAGGTCAGCTAACCTGGGAGACCACTTGGAGCCTCTCATCATAATCAGAGAACTAAAGACGAGTATCAATACTGATTAATGCAGAGATTCCAGAAGCTTTTAACAAACAGATTAGATAAGACATATTGACTAATTGGGATGGAGAGCAAGTTGAAGAAGACTGATATAACTTTCAGAACCCTAGTTGTGGTAACTGGATAGTACTTTTGGCTAGTGCTAACGGAGTAGGGGAAGAGCAGGCTTGAAAGGGCTGATATAACTTTCAGAACCCTGGTTCTGGTAACTGGATAGTACTTTTGGCCAGTGCTAACGGAGTAGGGGAAGAGCAGGCTTGAAAGGGTTGATATGGGTTCAAGTAGAAGAGCCCTTAAGACATGTAGGTAAATAAATATATCAAGTCCCCAGTTGGTAATTTGGGTCTGAAGTTCAAGAGAAAGATTTGAGTTTCATTTCAAAGTCACGACAGAAGCTGACAGCACATGGAAGTGAGAAGTAGAGATTGCTAGTGCAGGGTATTATATGGGGACTTTGTAAAAAAAAAATAGACAAAACACAAGGTTGAGGAGGGTACTTTTTTTCTAATGGGACTTGAAAATATTAATGGATGCAAGAAAGGAATAAGGCAAAAGGGAGCAATAGAAACATGAGAAAGACGTAATAACTGGAACTAGATCGGGAAGGGCATTGATTAAGAGCACAGTTCAGGGTGTCATTTGAACAGAGACCTTTCTGAGACTCCAGTTTCATTGAGATGTAGGTTGGAAAATGAGCTTTCACATCTGAGAACGCTATATTCTCTAGGAAATCGGAAAGTAGTCATTCATTAATTGTCATTCTTTTCAATAACTATTTTCTGAACACCTACCAAGTACCCTCGCACCACAGTAGGCATTCTCCCTGTCCTCTTGGAGCTTAAAATCTGGTGTCGTGGCAGGCATTATTTTAAAAATCATATAAATAAATGTAAAATGGCAACTGTGATAGATGCTATGAAGATTTACATGGTACAATAAGAGTTTATAGTGAGAGGAATTGACCCACTAAGGTATCACTGAAGCCTTCCTTGCTGAAGTAACACAGTTAGGACATGTCCCTTGAGGAAGAGACATGACTCCAAGCTACAAGTTGGAGTCAACTGGAGAAGAGACAGGAGGAGGGTCAGCATGTGCAAAACTCCAAGCCAGGATGAAAAATAGTTGATGTGGATGGAGCAGAAAGAGTGAGGTAAAGTGTGGCGAAAGATGAAGCTGGAGACATAAGTAAGACCAGACCAGGTAGGACCTTGCAAGACATTGCAGGAAGGCACGTTTAAACTGCAAAGTACTAGGAAGACATTGAGGAATTTGAAGAAGGACTTGGGGTAGAGATCACATGATCACATCTGTATTTCATAAAGTTGATTTTAGCTGCAAGCTCACTGAAGGGATTAGAGGAATCAGGAGAGGACAAGATAGACCCATTTCTAGAATCCTGGGAAGAAATTCTTATAGCTCATAAAAGGTGGTGGTGGTGGTGAAAATAGAGAGAGATGATTTCAAAGATTTTTATGAAGTGAAATTCAATTAGATAAGGTGAAAAGTGCATTAAGGTTGGCTCCTAGATTTCCAGTCCGCACACATTTGGGTGAGTTGCTGAAGTGAAGTACACTGGAAGTAGACTGGGTTTGAGGAAAGATCAAGAGTTTTCTTCTAAATATATTGATTTTAATGTATCCTTGAGACATTCAAGAGTCAATATCAAGCATAATGCTGGACACATGAGCCTGGGTCTCAAAGGAGAAGTCTGCACTGTAGATACAGAGTAGGCATCACTAGAGCAAGATTGTTTATGAAAATAATATAGAGGAAAGGACAGGGCCCAAGACAGACCCTTGAGGAATTCAAACATTCAGTGGTTAGGTAGAAGACAGTGAGACTGTGAAGAGAAAGAAGAAATGGCCAGAAATGTAAGAAAGATTAAAAAAAAAAAAAACTAAGGCAGTTTCATGGCACAAAAAATAAGAGATGAGAAAGTTCCAGAAAGAGGAAATATCCAAGAATGTTGCTAAGAAGAAAGATGAGAGTAGAAATGTCCTTTCAGTTGACATGAATCTCATGGGGGTAATAAAGCCAGAAATCACACTGGGCAGGTTGAGGAATGAGTGGGAGGAGAAAATGGAGACAGTGAATATAAACTATGCTACTAAGAAATTTATCTTGAGTCATGGACTGAGACCTAAGGGATAAAAATTGAGAAGGTGCCTTGAGGAGAGAGGGAGGACAGTTAAGGCAAGCAGCTGTGAGTTATTAAAGAGAGAACTGACCTAGAACAAGTGAAAAACTATAATGAACTGGGAAGACAGACTTCCCTTAATTTGTAGTGGCACCAGTTTGCCTGGGTGGGCAATTCTTTCTAGCTATCAAAGTCTGAACTGAGGAAATACCAAATTGTGGTTAAAGAAGAAAAAGAAAAGAGAGAAATAAACAACCAACGAGGAGACAATGAAGTAGAGAGGCTTGAGAGAATGAAGTTCAAATTGGCCATGGGACCCAGGCTCCATATGGAAGGAATTGTGGTTCCCAGGAGCCTGATAATTTAGCGGAAAATGAATGAGTCAAGGGATTAGGGACCTCAATAAAGACGAAAGACATATTTAGGGGAAATGCAGGGTTAAGAAAGCTGAGATGGTAGGTGAAGCAGATGCTGTTGAAGGCCCCCGAATCTCTGTGGTCATCCTTATTTCTATGCCCCTACTCTGGCCAGACTGTTGCTTACTTTTGGCTCAGGGCCTTTTCAGGGCCAGAAATTCTGGGCAGTTTATGTCCCTAAGAAGCAGCCTCAGCCAATGACTGATGGAAATAAGCAGATAACTCCCCAGCTCCCCAGGGTGAGCACTCGGAGGGATGTTCTGCTTCCTTCTCTGCCTTGTCTCAGCCCCACTCCCCACTCCCCCCGACTGAGATTAGCTCCCAATAAACTACTTGTACTGGAATCTCTCCTCAGGGTCTGCTGCTTGTGAGACTCAAACCAAAATAGTAGGCAATTGCTGTTGAAGCTTTTAGAGGTGATGCTGGGGATACAAAGGGCACAGGATGTGCTAGTGAGAGGTCTGCTCAAATGCCATGGAGGTGAATGCTCTTGGTTCTGAGATCTTAGATAACCATGTTTGGGGTTACCTATAGGGATGTCAAATTGACCTTAGACGTTTTAGATGGTGACTTAGACAAGACCATGAACCAAGTACCAATTTTCCATACTGTCGGAGAGAGATTAGAAGGCTAGTAGATGACAGTGACCCACAGGGGTGGAGGGTAGATTAGGTGGATGGCATGACCCCAAACAAAGAGGATTTTTAACCAAGGGAAGTGGAGTAATGTCTAGCCCCAGGAGAAGGGAGTGAGGACACATATACTCTAAGAGGAAGAGCAGCCCCCACTGAAGAGAGCCTAATTGAAGGAAAGCAATGTCTCTATGAGAGAACAACAGATTCATCGGCAATGGGTTAAAGATACAGAGAAAGTCTTTACAGGAGGTTTCAGATGGTTTAGGATGGAGGTCAACAGATAGGGGATAAATCAAAGAGATGAAATACAGGAGGTATGGGTTAAAGGGAGGAATAGAGGTTGTCCATTTTGATCAGTGCCTTGGAGTGAACCTTCCCAATCCCCTTCTGAGGCAGGATCCCAGGGAGTTGGTGTCCACAGTCACACAACCGTGTGTGGTGGAATTGAAGAAACTGAACCAGGCAGTTGGGCTCTAGAGACCACTAGCCACCATTCAGTGCTGCCCCTGAGGTTCAGGGCTCCAAGGCCTCTCTCAAAAGCACAGGCAGGAATCTGTACTTACATTGTGCAATGCTTACACTTTAAGAAAATGGTGGTATGCAAAACATGATTATGTGGAAATATGCAAAATAATAAAACAATCAATTAATAATAACTATGCCTGTACTCTGGCACCACTGTCTCTCTTTCTTTTAAATCCAGGCTTCTGTTTTTACCACCCGTCTCTATCACAGTAAACAGAGTTAGCATCCAGAAGACTGACATTAAGAGAATTATTATCTGTTCAGAGTTCATTCCAAAAAGGAATCTGCTATATAGCAACTTCTGAATTGGGTTCAGTCTATGCTCTTTGATGCACTACAGATGTTCCTGCAGAACAGCTAATCTAATAATCTCCTGCCCGGCAGGAAGCAAGACTCCTGGAAAGCTGGGCTGAGTCACGTGGCGCAGAGCCCCCTCAAGAATGAAAGCTCTCCCCCAGCGGCTGACAATGCTGCAGGTCCAAACCCTCAGTGTGTCGCCTCCTATGGAAAGTTCCATGGCTCTTTCTCCGCTCAAGGTCACTGCCCTTCCCTGGATGCTGCATCTGACAGGAGTGGGGAGAGGGGAAGTGTATATAAAGGCCAAGCCCTCTATCTCAAGACAAGTCAACTCTGAAGTGCCATCTCAGTTGCAGAGCTCCTAGTGGGGTCGGCTGAAGCCTTTATCAGGACTGCATCACAACTAGGCTTCCCTTAATCTTGCTTCCTTCCTCTCTTTTTTTATAGGTGCCAATCTCAAAAACACGCCCTAATAAACATCCTTCATTTAATCTCCATCGCAGAGTCTGAAAAGGTAACACTCCAGGAATCAGATCTGACAGTGCAACATTGGTTTATAGGAAATGTGCCATTTGCCAGGTATTGAACGGGGGAGGGGAAAGAGCTTATGCTAAGTCATATGGACTGGGAATTGAATCCTCACCTTATATTTCCTCAGGGGAAGTTTATAAAACTCTTTGACTACAGAACTATTTTGTGCTTGGTATTTCTCTTAGAGCTCAAGGTAGGATAACAACCCTGATTTGCGCAGGTCTTGGGAGGGGTGGGTTCTGGGAGGGATGACTTTTAGGACTATAACTGGGACAGCTCTGCTCAAACCAGGGTATTGGTCAAGGTCAGTAACTTTGGGGATGCTTGGAATTGAGAAACAAGGTTTGTTGACCTCCTGGAGCGAGAGAGAATGGCTGGAATCTGCTACTCCCATCCCTGCTACCCCATCCACTGCCAATTTCTATGTATGGGCTGGGCTTTAGTCCAGCGTCCATAGACTAGGATGTGGTGGGCCTGTACTTGCCCTGTTGTGTAATACTGATGAGTTGATATAAGAAGGAAACCCATGCTTTTCTGCCAGAGAAACTGAAGCTTAAGAAATCTCTGACCTACCCAAAGTTCCTAAAGAGGAATGCTAGAACCAGAATCAATATTAAATCAGAAGCATCCCTTAACTCCCTAGTTAACTTCTATTATGGTGACTGAAATCTGTAGAAGAAAGCAAAAGACCAACTTAGGTAACAACTCTGTCTCAAACCACTCAGACCTCCATACCCTGATTGCTATACCCCAATTGGCTTTGGAAAGTGTCTCACTGTACACTGGCATGACTTGACAGGCTGAGCCCCAAGACTGATTCCACAGCAGTCCCCCACACTCGTGTACATTCATGTTGTCAGGTCTAGAATATCAAGTTAGAATACATGTGCAGCCAGGGTGTCCCTAAATTGTAACTTGCATCCCCAAGTAAGGACTTTTTAACTCCATTGTAGATGTTGTGACTCTCAGGCCAGTGGGCGCCTGCCTCTGTGTGTAGACACGAGCACACACTGACTCAGAGAACTTGGGCTCCATGTATGGCACGCAAAGCCCACACTTCACATTCAGGACCCAAGACAAAGCCTTTCATGCCACTGGCCTGAATAAATAAATATTTTCTGCAATCAATGTAGCCGCCTACTTTGTTCTTGGGCTTGTCGTGATGAACTTCATAGATGTTTATAAGATCAGTGGCTAGCTACTAAGAATAGATTTAAACAGGGGGAAGTGCAGACAGCTCAAAAAGGAATGTTGGATTGGGGGATCCTGTTTTCTGTTTGTCCACCAAAACGGGAATTCTTCAGTAGCTGAGAGGTGTCCCAGGGGCCCAGAGGAAACGCTTTGTGAAAAAAATGACCCCAGATGAGTAATTATATCAGCAGCCTTATTTGTTGCAAGTATTCCATCATCTGCTTATGTTAACTTATCTAAACTGTGAGAAATTAACATTTAGGGCAACAATGGGTGCTCATGACTTTGAATAAGTCACATCTTACATACATTGACCATAGGCTGTTGGCAAGCAGCCATTAGCCAAAAGGACATAAACACCCATAAACTGAAAATAGTTCCCATTTTATTTCCACTCAGATGTGTAATACCCACAATTTCCATTGCTGTTTGTTAAAGTAATCTTACTCCCACAAGGTGCTTGTAAAGCCATAGACTTCCCCGGGTGTCAGGGTTAGTAATAAGTCCTTCGTTATAACTCATACATTCAAAAGAATAAACCAACTTCAAATAAGGATTAGAAGAACATTTACCCAGAGAACAAAAATAAAGACAGACAAGCACCTCATAAATTAGTTTGCTAATCCGACAGTTATGCTTAATGGTTTCACTGACTCTATTCCTAATTCGTTGTAAGGTTTTGCTTAGTTCCCTGGTTAAATGGCAGCATGAAAGCATGGTTTTACCATAGGAGCCTCTGGGATATTTATTAAAAGGTGATACACGCATACACACACACAAACACACACGGTTATTATTCCTATTTTAACATAAAATAAGTTAGCATGAGTATCTCATGTGTTTCTTGTGAAACTGTTTTTTGGTTGGCATTTCAAAATACATTTTATTTCATATTGTTTTATGATGAGAAGATTAATACTGCCGATGTGGAAACATTTTCTACACGGGCCAACTTAAATCGTTTTAAAGTTCAAAAGTAAAGGGTGACATATTTTTCACTTTGCCTCCAGGTTTGACGAAAATTAAAAGCAGACTTTATAAGCAGATACCATGATTTCATAATGGGGACAAAAGCATTTACAATGCAAAGAACCCCTTGGGAGCTCTTGAACTTTCTGAAACAATGGTCAGGGTGGAATTCGGTTTTCTGCACGTCTAATGTTTAAAAACAGCTGGTTTTTGTTTTGGTGGGGGTTTTTCCCTAAAAGAATCTCATTCCCCCTAAAATTTTCTGACATTCATAATGGCTTTTGCCCATGCCATTTTGGAAATGCACTTCTGATTTCCCAATTTATTCATTTATTATAAATATCATAAATAAATGAGGTGGTAATGCCCATCATTACTACTACCTGGTAGAAAGATGATTCTAATTCTCATATCCTGCCATAAGGAACCATACCCTAAAATATTCCTCTTTATTATTGTCCAATAGAGCACTGAAAATGTTCAGGATAATTTCTTTTCAGATTAATGAGAGAGAATCACCTGTAATTTTAAATTACTTAACCATTTCTAAGGTGACATGTTTGGACAGGTATTAGGTGAGGTCCTATGGGCTAAAATGTATTTCTTCTTTCTGGTGACTGATTTTTTTCTGCATTTGCAGTCTCTAGATTAAAAGACTTCAAGAGCCCTAACCAGTTTTGCTCAGTGGATAGAGCGTCGGCCTGCAGACTCAAGGGTCCCAGGTTAGATTCTGGTCGAGGACATGTACCTTGGTTGCAGGCACATCCCCAGTAGGGAGTGTGCAGGAGGCAGCTAATCGATGTTTCTCTCTCATTGATGTTTCTAACTCTCTATCCCTCTCCCTTCCTCTCTGTAAAAAATCAATAAAATAAATTAAAAAAAAATAAAAGACTTCAAAAAACCAACTGTCACAATGTTAATTCAAGGGTTTAAAAATTTCAGGGGTTTACCTTTGTGGTTCCTTAGTTTTGGGCTCTTGAAAATATAAGCTTTTTTTGTAACTAGATGTAATTCATAAGAGTAATACAATAAAACAATAAAATCTGCCCCCATCTGTGAGTTTGGGCAGTTAAGATAATTAAGGTAAAAAAAACTTGAAGTTCAGATTATAAAACAAGATAGTCTACATGCACATCATCACACTGGAAAAATTTTAATCTACTTAGGCAAATTAAAGAGAAATAAATTAAAGATAGTTATCTGTTTTGTTTTGTTTTGTTTTTTGCTGCCTAGCAAATTATCTCAAACATAGTGTCATCCAGCCCTAGCCAGGTGGCTCAGTTGGTTAGAGCATCGTCCTGTAAACCAAAAGGTTGAGGGTTCGATTCCCTGTCAGGGCATTTACCTAGGTTTCAAGTTTGATCCCTGATGAGGCATGTATGGGACGCAACCAATTGATCTTTCTCACCTCTCTCTCTCTCTCCCTCCCTCCCTCCCTTCCTCCTCTCTCTAAAATCAACAAACATATCCTTGGGTGAGGATTAAAAATCCTCACCAATCCCAATTCTTTATTTAGCTCATAATTGTGTGGGTCAGTGACTTGGGTTGGACTCAACCCATGATCCTTCTGTGTTCTCAGCTACAGTCACTCATTTTCTGTGATCAGCTGCTGGTTCTGAGGTCAGTTGGTGGGTGCTCTAGAGGCTGGCTCATTCCTGTTGGCCTCATGTACATGTCTGGCAGTTGGCTGGTTGTTGACTAGGGTACCTTGGTTGTCTAAAAGCCCAGGCGAGAGAGAGAGAGAGAGAGAGAGAGATTGATTGATTGATTCTGCTGCATACCATTGATCAAAGCATGTCACTTCAGCCCAGGTTCAAGGGATGGAGAAATAGACTCCATCTCTTGATGGGTGGGGGGCCAAATGCAGGGAGGGACATTACAAGGGCACAAATGCAGGGAGGGGCAGAATCAGTAGCCATTTTTATAGTCTACCACAGTATCAAATTGCTTGTTTGAAAGCAAGAAGAAAAGCAGGGCTTAGAATGCTTAGAAGTGATGGCTAGAACCACTAAGTTTCCCTTGACTTTTGGCAAGTTGCCTCCCATACACACCCAGACCCAGGATCGAACCTGCAACCTGGGTATGTGCCCTAACCAAGAATCGAACCCGAAACCTCTCGGTGTACCGGATGATGCTTCAACCAACTGAGCCACACTGGCCAGGGCAGGTGGCAATTTTATTTTTATGAAAAGACTGAATGTGTACATTTTTACAGATAGAAAATATACCTCGGCAATGTTTCTAGGAAAAGTAAGTCTCTGGATTACAAAGTGTAAAGGCACGTGACGACAGATGACCTCGGATGCTGTCACTGCATCATCTGATTCCCAGTCTTAGAAATAGAAATAATAGAAATAGACATGATAGAAACAAATGCATGCAACTTAGAGAATTTAGAGAATGGAGGAAGGAGGCGAGCAGCTTTGAGTGGATGTGAGCATGAGTCCCAGGAGGGCAGACAGAGGTAAAGAGAAGGGAAGTCTGTTAGATATAAGCACCCATGGGCTATCTTCACAGGAAGTCCAGCCTCACAATGGAGCCAGAGAACAGACGCCAGAAGAAAGTGGCTCCAGGAACAGAAGAATTTGATAAACACCCTAGATATCAGTGAGAAAATACCAGTTTGTTGGAGCTAAAAATAAGAAAATTGCATGACTTTCTGCATTCTTTGCCTAGAGTGAGATCCAGAGAAAAACAGACCCATTGGCCTGGGAGAGCGTTTTAGAAAGAGTATCTTAATGACATCCTTCTGGTATTGTTTTCCTTCAGACCTCCGATGCCCACTCCCATTCTCTCTTGGCAGCTCCCTGCAACAGTTGGCCGCTGTGACTTCTGAGAACTTGCTATGGATGTGAAATCCCTCCTCTTTAATTTAAGTCCGTGTCCACTAATTTGGTCCTTCACAAAAGTGATGAAAAACTGGCCCGCATTCCCCACATTAAAACCTTTCATTTATCTAAAGATAGTCATTAAGCCTCCCTCAGCCTGCTTTTCTTTGGGCCAAACAACCCCACATGCTTGAACTTTTCCTCATAAAACTAA